CACAAGGTTATTCCTACTGTCTGACGATGATTGATAGATTTACTAGATGGCCAGAAGCTGCACCAATCAAAGATGCCACGGCGGACACAGTAGCAACCGCCCTTTATACAACCTGGATATCAAGATTCGGTTCACCTTTGACGATAACTACCGATCAAGGTACTCAATTCGAATCTCAACTATTCCAAGCCCTCACGCAACTGGTTGGATGTTCTAGAACGAGAACCACATCATACCATCCAGCGGCAAACGGCTTGATAGAAAGATGGCACAGATCACTAAAAACGGCAATAGCTTGCCACAATAATCCAGACTGGGTAAAAATTCTACCGACAGTTTTACTAGGACTCAGGACAAGTTTTAAAGAAGATTTAAAGGCTACAGCAGCAGAGATGCTATATGGAACTACGGGTTTAGTTTCCCTGACTCTTCCTTTTGTCAAGTCCTTTCCATTGGCAGGGTTGTCTGCATTTCCACGAGTNAGATGCTATATGGAACTACGGGTTTAGTTTCCCTGACTCTTCCTTTTGTCAAGTCCTTTCCATTGGCAGGGTTGTCTGCATTTCCACGAGTTCTCGCCGAACTTCCTGTGGAAATAACATAGTCCGTCGTCTCTAGTTCGACTCCTTGATTTCGAACTGTATCTTCGGAATTTCTTGCGTTCCGGTCGTCGTCCTCTGTGGGTGTCTCGGATTGATGCTTCGAGTTGGGCTATTCGCTTGATGAGCTCAGCAATTTCTGAGCTTGAATAGGAGTCACGTGGTTGGGCCGCCATCTCCGCTAGCTCGTATTGTGACGATCTTTCGATCGTTTTGTCGGCGAGCAGAGCTAATTTTTCTGTTGAGACTCCTTCAACCACGGACAGGACCTCTTGAATTCGGGCAGGTAGCCGTTGTAACCATAGCGTGCATAGGGCACTATCAGAGACATTTTTCCCTGCGAGGAGCGTCATTTCTCGCAGTAGTTCCGATGGTCTTTTGTTCTGCAGATCGATTCCCGACAGCAGCTGTCTCAATTGCGTCTCTTCGGACGTTGCCAAACGCGAGATGAGGGCCTCTTTTATTTGAATATACGAGTCGTCTGTTGGAGGTGCAGCTATAACGTCGGCGACTACTTTCATCGATGCGGTATCTAGATGTCTGATTACCGCAGCGCATTTTACCGCGTCGGCTTTTACAGTATAGGCCGCGAATTCACGTTCGAGCATGGCGAACCATAGCTTGGGTTCTTCTCGCCAAAAGTTAGGTAGCTTCGCGTTTCTGAACTCACTTACCGCGATTTCCATTTTATCTTCTTTGTCGGCCATCTTGTGGTCCCGGGTTTCGGCACCAATTAATATGTGGCGGTTTGCTTGGTATTATGTTCTCTTAAATTGGATTCTCTGAGAACTGGGGACGATGGCTTTTCGATAATAAAGGAAACAGTTAATTTGGCTAACTTGTAACGTGTTTTTATTTAACTTTATGCGTACGTCCTTAGACTGTTTGTACGTCTATGCTCTTGGGAGATTGATATTAGACTGTTTTTAGAATCTGTTGGTTTTGCTTAGCAACTGTTAGTTACTAGAATGAAGGTGACGTTGAGTGCCGCTTATACGGGCGTACGGAGCGTATGGAGATAGAAAATATGCTCACGAATCAAATATACACAAACTATATTAAAATTGTGGCTAAGACTTCAATCAAAATTAATCTCACAAATGTATAAATTATGTTTTAAGAATTACATATTAATTGTCTACTGTGTACTTGTAAAATTCTTTGAGGTTATTGTATGCGAAGATTTGAATAACTGATAATAAATGATTAGGCAGGACGCTGAAACTATAAGATAAATGTTTGGCCACCAGTTTCAGCATTCTGCCATAGATGTCGATGCAAGTTCTTGGCGAGTGGTTTCTGCTTTCTACCACGGATGGCGCCACAAGTTATCGGCGAGTAGTTTCCGCTTTCTACCACGGATGGCGCCACAAGTTATTGGTGAGTAGTTTCCGTTTTCTACCACGGATGGCGCTACAAATTCCCTGCGAATAGATACAGCTTTCTGCCACGGATGGCGCCACAAGTACTCGGCGAGTAGTTTCAGCTTTCTGCCACGGATGGAGCCACAAGTTACCGGCGAGTAGTTTCAGCTTTCCGCCACGGATGGAGCCACAAGTTATCGGCGAGTTGTTTCCGCTTTCTACCACGGATGGCGCCACATTTTCTCGTGGTGATGCTATCCTTGTCGCACATTTAATTGTCCTAGTCTTACACAGCGTAAGAATGGAAAAATTGCGAAGTGTAAATTCGCAGAAACGACCGTGTTGAAACTATTGTTTTATCAGTTCTAAAAGCGTCGCGATTCTGTGCTTGGAATAACCCGTAAGCATTCACCCAACGGTTTACCTTAAAATATCCGTATATTATACTTTATTATTGACATTCGAAGCACGAGTGTTAGTTAGTGTCGATACAAAGATAAGGATCGCCGCATGTTCGATAAATAAATTAAGGATACGATGATAAAGAGTTAAAAATCGTAATACGAAGACACATCGCAACGTCGTAGGGTCAATACAAGTAGCTAAATAGTGTCTTTGCGATTAGAATAGGGGCTACGCGCGTCTCGGAATCGTCGTGTTACTGTAGCGACAGCGATCAAAGAGGAGAACCGACGCAACGGCAATGCAATAATTAATAATAATAATACTAAAATAAATAAGAATGATTGTACCGGCGAGCACGTGGCGAAGAAAATCGATGGATCTACGCGCGATCGATCTGCTGCAGTGAGATTCGTACCGAAATAAATACATACAGTCTGCCAAACGACTACGCTCGTGCACCCGTCAAAATCGGCTTCCGTCAACGAAATACGAGTCAAGTATCAGTCCCTGATCGTTGACCTCGGGGATAATTCTCGAGGGTTTCGATTGTCGATTAATTCCGTATTGCCCTCGCAAACTTTCGACCCTATTTCCGAGCGACGCTACGGCAGGACAGAGCGCGAGATCGTCGATGGGGACACGATCGGGACAGAATCGGGACACGATCGGCGCTCGGGCGGGCATCGTGTCCCGATCTATCGCGACCGATTCGCGGTTCGATCGCCGGAGTGATTGTCTTGCGCGCGCGCGAGGATCGATCGTCGACACGAGGGGACCTTGTCCTGATCGTTGTCTTTTTCTCTCTTCCTTAGATTTCTGTATCCGTGGTCTTTTTCTATATCCGTTTCTTCGAGCTGTCCTGAAGCGAGTAGACGTTCGAAAGAGTATTTCTCTACAGAGACTTCCGTGTGGATAAAAACCGGTCGGCTTTAATACAAATAGTTCTTCGGCTCCTCCGTCGGCTGGCCGCACACCCCGTGGTATTTCTTCGTGACCACGTTTCGGCTGCGGCAGGTCTCGATCTCGAGGAAGCACTCGTTGCTGTACGTCATGCCGTCCGTGCCGCAAACGGGGTCGTAATAGGGCGGGCAGATCTTCTGACAGCCGCGGAACAGGAAGCCCTGCACGCATCTTTTCATAGGGACCACGTAGACGTGTTTTCTGAAAGAATTTCGGTCGCGTCAAGCATCGACGAATCTACTAATCGAAATCTAAAGCAATCCAACAAGAGGGTTCTTTACCCGCAGTTGTCCCTCTTCATCTCGCACTCGTTGCGATAGAACTTGTTGTCGGAGCCGCAAACGAACTGGCGTTCCCCGCTGCAAATCTGGTTGCAGAGCGCGGTGGTAGGACAATGTTGCGCCGGAACTTGAATCACTCTCTGACCGCACGTCTCGCGCTGCAGATGGCAGAGGGACCTGAAACGGGAGAGAATCGAGCTTGGCCGTTGAATCCCGGAGAGGCACGGGGAACGTCGAGTGCCGGCTGAGCTCTCTAGGGTGCCTGGCTACGTCGGTCGAGAACCGAGAGAGTCGAGACGATTTAAACGATTGTCGTCGAGGAACCCGCGCGCGGCAATAAAGCGGACGAGCGGACTCCGCGGGGTCCAAGGGGCCCAAAGGGGCCTAAGAAGCAGGCTCGAGGTAGCAGGCGTCGTATGGATCTTTTCGTCGTGGATACGGGGATACGAGAGTGGCAGACAAGGGTTCGGGGTTTTCGTAACGACCGCGGCCGTCGCGTCGGTGATTCACGCGCCCTTAAAACCAGCCGGCGTCGGACGTCCTGGAATCCGAATAACGCTCTTAATCACCGGTAAACGTTCCCGTCGCTTCCACAAACTGGTTCCTCGGGCAGCTCGCTGCAGTCTTCGGGGCACTGTTCGGCTCCCTTCAAGGTCGTGCACTCTCCGACGTGAGCCAGCTGAATGCCCTTTCTGAAAAACGCAACCGTGGTTGAACGCCTGATCGACGTATCGTTCAGCGACGCTGGTAACTAACGCTCGTGACGCGGTAATTGCTTCCTGCAACACCTATCTTTCCTCCTCCTCCTTCTTATCGCCGACTCTCTCACATTTCTCCCGTCTCTGTTCAGTCGCGGAGAGACGGAAGATGTGGAGAAAGAGTTCGTGAGAGAGAGCGAGGGAGAGAGGGAGAGAGAGAGAGAGAGAGAGAGAGAGAGAGAGAGAGAGAGACAGACAGACAGACAGACGGACGAAGGTCGGCGCACTTACAAGCAATTGGCGACGTTCAACTGACACTGATTCGTATAAGTGTTCGCGTCGCTGCCGCAAACTGGATCCACCTCGGTCCCGCACCGCAGCTGCTGCTTCATGCACCTGTTCAGCCGTGACTGACACTTGTCGAAGTCCACCACGCTCACCTTTCTCCTCGCTTGCCTGGAAGATCGACGACAGATCGTTAGGCTACTATCCCGCCGACTACTAAATCTCATCAGTCAGGAATCTCGTTTGCAAAAGACCCACCCGCAGTTCAGCATCTGCATCTCGCACTCGTTCCTGTAGATGAAACCGTCCGAACCGCAGGTCGGCGCTTCCGGCTCGTTCTTGCAGTCCAAGGGGCAGGCGTTCGCCTGGCCGCCGGACGTCCTTTCCTGTGATATGCAGAACGACATCGGCACCTCGAACACGTGCTTGCTGAAAGCATCGACATCGAAACACGTTATATTTCCGTCGGTAGGACGTAGACCGCGAGAGAAAGCGAGGGGAGAAACCGAAAGAGAAATCTGAACGAGAAGAAGAAGCTGGCCCAGATAGGGGGCGTCTGCCACAGCCTCTTATTACCCTCTCGAGGGACTTACCCACAATTCTTCGCTCGCATTTTGCAGGTGTTCGAGTAGAGGATGCCGTCGCTGCCGCAAGCCGGCTTGGCACCTCGCCAACAGGACTCCCGACAGTGTCTGGTGGTCTGACAATGTTTCTTGTTGGTGCGCACCACGCCTTGCCTACGGTCCAATGTGATTAATTAATTAATTAATTTATTACTTGTTTATTAATTCATTGAACCGGCTAAACACCCTCTGGATCACAGATATAGAGGATGTCCCATAATTATGTGAACATCCGGAAAGGCGTGCTCGAGCCTCGCGAATCGTTTTCACAGTCGCCGAATATAAATAAATAATAATAAAAATCAATTAACAATAAATAGCAATAATAAATAAAATAATAATAATAAATAATAATAATCGTATCTCCTCTTCCCAAAAACACCGGATACCAGTCCCTTGCACTCGAGCGGTGACTCCGAGGCACCGTTAAAATTTGTTACATCACGTTCTAAGATAATTTTTATATCAACAAAGTCTAGATTTAAAGAATTATCAAGAGCGTAACGGTTGCGCGAGTCGCAAGAGTGAACTTCATACGCATAAAATTCACTTTGTCGTATAAAATAAAAATACTATAAGTCAGAAAAATGATTTTAGATTTACAGTTGAAAAACAGCTTCGAGTGCAAATAACTAGATCATTGACGCGGCCGTCGAACGAACGCGGTCGCCGCGTACCCGCATGTGAGCAGCTTCATCTGGCACGTGGACTTGTAGACGTTTCCGTCGCTGCCGCAGATCGGGCCGTCGAGGGGCGCGTACTCGCAGGACACCGGACAGTTCTCCCTGTGCGCCGAGATGTTGTTACAGGGGCCCAGGTGGGACAGCTCGATGCCGACTCGGCAGATCTCGACCCTGAGCATGCACTTGTTGAGGTAAGTGCGGCCGTCGGTGCCGCACACCGGATCCTGATCGCCCGGGCACCGGTGCTCGCACTTGCTACCGGACGACCTCAGGCAAGCGGTCTTCTCCACGGCCACGGTCACGCCTGCGCAATTTGTAAACCGTCGATAATTACCGGCCCCGGCGCTCTCGACCCTTCGCGTTCGTCGGCGGATCGATGGATCTCGACGACGGCGGCGGCGGCGGCGGAGGCGCGGAAGAGACGCGGAGGCGAGGCGCGAAGAGGCGAGCCGCGATCCTGCGCTAATAGATTATCATTAATGGCTCTCGCGGATGGAGCGGATAGCCGATGCCTCGGCTTACCCGCGCGGCAACGCAACGGACGTTGTAAACCAGCCTCGTCTCTTCGCCGCGCGCACCGCGCGCTCGCCGCGCGTTAAATCGCCGCGAAACGCAGCCGATCGTAATTATGTATTACGATGGAGAAGCACGCCTTCGAACTCACCTTTTCCACACGTCTTCTTCCGCATTTCGCACGGCGACGCGTAGATCACCCCGTCGCTGCTGCACACCGGCTCCCCGTTGAGCGGACATATCCGGGGACACGCGCCGCTCGCCAAATCTGCGGAGACAAAAGCAACTCGTTCAGTACACGCATCGGTCCACGAGCAACATCCCAGGGGGAAGGAGGAAGGGAAAACCCGGTGCGCGATCCGAAGTAACCGAGTCCCGTCGAAATCAAAGGGCTCTCGACGGTCACGAGACAGAGCAAAGATCTTCGTTTCGCGTTGAAGCTGAAACGTTGCAAAATACAACAGATATACAGAGTTCCCCGGAAAGAATCATCCGATTTCAAAAATTTATATTTTAAAAAATTACACACAGAAAATTACAATTCAAACACGAATATAACGGGAAATGTGTGAGTTTTTGTTTACAAGTGTTCAATATGACTTCCTTTCGTTACACGTATGATATCATTGCGATATGAAAGTTCTTGCCAAACACGGTGTAATGTATCTCTGGTAATTGTTTGTACAGCATCACAAATGCGTTTTTTCAGTTCATTTACACTTGTAGGTAAAGGTGGTACAAAGACAAGATCCTTCACAAATCCCCAAAGGAAGAAGTCGCATGGGGTT